TAAAGTGCTGACCCCAACAGGCTTGTCTTTGCACCTGAAATCTTAAAAATGAGAAGAAACAAAAATCCTCGAACTTTTCTTTAATAGTAGCACAGACTGCTCCTTTTAGAAGAGATCCTTTTTTTCCCTACCTCCTTTCCAATTAAACCGCTGCTTTTAGCCCAGCAGAGAATAAATGACTTAAGACACAGAACATGGAGGGCAGACCTACAGTAAACACAGAAGCCATGAAGAATATTTTTTTTTGCCATCTACTGCAAGGCCCTGGAAGCCCCAAGTCCTGTAGAATCATCATATTGGCTTCACATCTTCCATCTTGTTGTGAGTACATTAAACACCGATGAAGAAAATGAACACAGCTTGGCAACAACATGATTCCTAGATGCTGGAAGAATTCCCTTAGGGGCTGCTGGAAGCACACAAAGCTTAGAGCATCCTGAGGATGTGGAGTGATACAGAAGTGTGCTGTTAAACCATGTGTATACCCTTATTTTCTCCTGAGTTAAAAGAAGTGCAGAGTGACGGGTTAGACTCCTCAATAGCAAGAAGGAACTGTGCTAGCTTCTATTAATGCCAAGTAAACAACTCCCATTTGTTTTAGAGGTACTAGGTTCAGTCTGAAAAACAATGTAGGACATTCTACTCCTGAAAAGAGTTTCTACTCTGTTCTGTTGACATCAAATTTTCTCCTGTTGTTTGCAATAGTCCTTCCCTGTTCCCCATGCATTGAGTACTTTTAATGTAAACATGCCCTGGAAATATTATGTTTCATTAAGTAAGAGACAAGTCAGGATATCTCAACAGTATTGATATTGCATATTTAATTCAAAAGCTTGCATGTGCTTTTAAAAGTTTATCTTCATACCTTCATGCCTTACTGGAAAGTATTGTGTTGCAGTTGGATTGCACATCATTATCTAGTGCTGATTAAATATTCATGTGTTATAGCAGTTTACTTTTAAGCTGTTTGGGTTGAATCCCCAGCCAGTGTAAATTGGCCCACATTTAAGGCAACAGAGTGAAGCTGATTTATACCAGCTGAGGCTGTGTCCTTATGCCCTGTTAAAAGCTCAAACTATCCCAAAATTAGTAAAGAATAGGGCAGAATTATGAACCCAGGCAGCATTTTTTTCTATTTTTAACAGAAAAAAAATACAGTGATCTCATTTTAAGACTAAATCAAAGATTCAGTAGTATTCAAAATGCATACAAATATCTCATAGCTAGTATTTAGACTAAGAGGTAGATGTCATATTCTAGGAAAGTATAGTGTGGAATGGTGCTAATGGCAGTTGCTAAATACATTTATTTGCCTTCTACACAGGACACAAAGGAGGGTTATAGCAATGGCAACCACAAGAAGTCTTACAATATCCTTTTCTTCTTTTGCTATTCTATGTTATCTGTCTTTCAGTGCATTTCTTCTGGAAGGGCATGATGGAAAAGTGTAAGTAAAAGAAGTAAAAGGATGAGTAATACAAAACTTCATGTTTACAAAACGTTAGCTTTATCATTAAAGGCATCCTCTGTACTTTAATGGAAGCATTTTGTACTTACAATTTAAGATTACCTGGCATTACTGAGCAAGTAGTGGAAATTCCAGGTGAAGTGATTCGGCAAAATAGGGGTCAGAAGAATGCAGCTCTCTCCCTCTCTCTTTCTCTCTCTCTCTCTTTTTCTCTCTCTCTTTTTCTGTTGTTCATGCTAAAAATACCAGGGCATATGGCAGCATATTTCAGCATCTTAACATAGTAGGCTCCTTTGAGGACAGAAAAAAAAGAGGAAACTTGTGCTGTTGAGCCAGAAATAAGATTACAGAACAGTCTTGCCAGACATACAGAGTGCTGGCAGCAAAGCCATTAGCAGAGTCAGTGTCTTACTTTGCCTAAAGGTGTTTCAGTGATATTTAATGGGCCTCCAAGAAATGGAAAGCAAAGCTAGTGAGAATGAGGAGTGGTATAAGCATTTTTATAAATTAGTTGTCATTGCAAGTAGAGGAATTACACATATTGCATTAGGATATCCACTGCTTGTATATGTACCTTCCAGTTTTCCCTTGTGACTGTTAAGGGTCACCCCCTGCTTGAAATAACCAAAATGCATATTATAATTACACGGTTTTCCAATATCCATACACAGCAAGTACAAGATACTTACATGTAAGTACACTGTATTTACCTATATTTTTGCATAGTTTTTAGTGTGTACTTTGTGCCACTTAATAAAAAGCATTACTCGTTATTTTTGTTGTTGTTGTTTGTTTTGCTCTATTAGACAGCTTATTCAATTAAAGTTGAAGTAGCTGGGATTTTTGGTATGTTCATCATAGACTACCAGTTCCTAGGACTGCAGAGATTAGACACTTGGAGGAGTCTGGGTAAGCGGTGGGGGAAGCTGCAGTGTGAACATGAAGTTTTAAATCACCTCCTTAATTAAGAAATGCAATATCAGATTTATGGTGCTAATTTAATAAACTTACCTTTAATTTGAATGGATTTGTAAAGGTAAGAACTCCATTTTCCTTTTGGTAACACTTTACAATAAGTGGCACTAAATTACACTATAACTGCTATGTTACAGGGAATTACATGTAACTACACTGTAACTGTTGAAATAGCTACTGTACATGTGCGTACATGGTAACTTCAGTGCTGTTACAATCATGAATTACATAATTACAGATGATTCTGTCCTTTCTTTTCATTGAAATAGTTATATATATATATTATACTGCAATGAAAATACACAAGATGTTAACTTTCATGTCTTACTTAGAAAAGTTGGTTTTCTTCATGTATTCCTTTATAGAGGGAGTCTCAGTGCAAGATGAACCATCCTTAAGTAATGTGGAAACTCTTTGAAGTGTTCTAGCTTAAACTCTGAGCCTCAAGTTAAACACCAATTTCCTCGAACTGTCTCTTGGTTTGTCAGATGACACTAAAAGAGTGGGATGATGCACCCCTTGTCTTCTGATGCACCGCTTTCTTGTTCAAATCATGAGAATGTTCTTGAAGCATTAAAAAAAAATAAAATCTACATCAAAAGTTTAAAAATAATCAGCAATTGACACTGTAAACAGTACACTGGCAGAAACTAGCTACCTGGTCTTGAGAAAACTACTCTGCGAGTGTGTGTGGGAGAGGATGTCACATACATTTTAGTGATGGTGGTTCCCATTCAGAGCCTCCATTTTACACATTTGCTGGATATCTCACGTCATAATAAAAGTGGTATTTCAGAATGGGAACTTGGACAAATGGAATGGACAACTGGATTTTAGCCTACTTAATGTCATTAGTGTTGAGTCACGATTCTGCTTACAAAAAAGAGAGATGACTCTTTACACCTAGTGTAGAAATTTCAACCCGTGAAGACCAGACAGGCCTGCAAAGTGCTATCCAAGTAGAATGCTCTGTGGGGTTTTTCACACCTGCTGTGCACAGATGCAAGGGACATCACCAGGTGCAAGATAATGGAAGATCAACTATTTAAAAAATGATCACATAAGAGAGGTTTTAATTGAAAGCCAATGAAAAAAAACCCACCTTATTTTATAAGTAGAATTTATATCAGTACAATTTATATCTCTTTTTGCCAAGTAGAAATGCTGTTTCTATGCCACTGAAGAAAATGGTTTGAATTGACTGTCCCAAGGGCAATCCTGCTTTTGAAGGTTCTACCTGACCTTGGTTGGGTAATGGTTCAAGTAACAACCCTACTATTCAAGCAAGCTGGAGTTAGGAAGAATGAAAAAAGGCGTAAACACCATGCTGGTGGGGAATTCCACTTGAGCAAATAAGGCCCTCATCCAGGGAAGCACTCATATTTTTAAGCATGTGAATAGTGCCTTACAGTCCAATGGAACTTTTCTGATGCCTGAAGCTGACCATGTGCTTAAAGGTTTAGTTGAACTGGGCCCCAGGTCCTGAAATAAAATCTTGTCATAAATGATATTGTACTGTAGCTAATGTAACTTACTGCTGTGAAAAGAACCCATATTTTTGGTATTAAACTGAATGACTTCCTTCACCAGCCTTTTACATGTGTATGTTTTGAAAGACATGAATATCTTGTAAACCTATACTAGTTTTCAATGTGTCTAGTAGCACCTACCTGGGTCTCTCAAACTACCATATTATATTAACATATTATTGCATTTTTCCACAGATGGGTATGGAGTGAACTGTAAAAACAAGCATGCAATCACATCAATGCAGACTTATTTCTTTAAAATGTCATACTGTATATGATTTATTATGTTAACACTCAACCACGTCATATTATTTATGTCTGTATATTTTGAAAAAAAGTGCTGCTTTGATTGACGTCACCCTTTTTTCTTAGAAATTAACAAGATAAATGCTTCAACAAAAACAATTAAAATACTCTAATATTGTCCTTAAAAGGTTTATATTCTTCTGATAAATAATCTGATGCAGCACCTTTATCTTCCATTTTACCATACTACATGATGTCATATTCCAAACTCTCCCTTCCCCACACAAAAATAAAATCCCAGGAGAAAGTCCTTTACAGCAGACCATCATGCTTTTATGCTTCACAAATACATCAACCAGAGAGAAATACTCTTTTGTCAAAGGTGCAAAACGTAGGAGCAAACCAAGCTCCAACTAGGCTAACTTGCATTCTCCAGTGTAGAATCATTTCCAAGAGCTGTTATGGCAACCTTTTCATTTCATTGGAAGAGGAAATAAGCCAATGGGCTTACAGTGTTTTGTTGTCATATTTAAGAGCATGTGAATTTTCAGCTGTCAATTACACAAAAAAAATTCAGAAATAATTCAAACAGAGACTTTCACTGTGGAGCTAAAAGCATGGCAGGAATTCTCTATCATTCACGGTGACATAAGTTTGTACCTCACAAAATGCATAGACAGGAATTTAATATAAAGAATTAGTCCATTTACTGTATACACAAAACATATATCTTTTGTTTTAACACTTCTATTTTTTCTTTTTTTTTCCTTTTTTTTTTTTTTTTTTTTTGGCAAACCAACAGAGAGAAGCAGCTCTAGAACTGCCAAATTAAAAATTGAGAAGTTTAGCAACTCAATAGTATATTTTAAGGATAGTAATCAAATGTGGTTGTAATTTAAAACCTGAGGCTGTGCACTGGTTGTTAGCTTAAAACTACCTTTCCATATAACATTGTGCTTCCATTGTATAACAAAGAAAAAATTAACAAGAACTAGAAAAGTTTGCTGCTGAACAGTGCTAGGACATACAGACAAAAAATACCAATACATGTTATCTATTCAGAATATTGATTTGAATCATATCTAAAAGGATATAATGGACATTAGAAAATGCTTACTTGTGACTGACTTAGCTACTGCCAAAAAAGTTGAAGATGTATCAAATAATGTTTAATTGAATTTATTATATGCACTATATACATATACTAAAATGACTTGCAGTTGTGCCCTACGAACACTTCAGATTTGAGTAGACAGATGACTTCATGTGAAGCAAATAAATTATAAAACCAGAAATTACTCAGAATGTTTTCTAATCTTTGCAACCCCAAAATCCAGTAAAAGGGCACAACAAATTTGTTTCAAATGAAGCACTATTAGCTAACTTTGCAGAATCTGTATAGCTATTCAGCATGTTTTCACCACAGAAACATGGCACTGTAGTCAAGGTACCATTTAAAACACAACAAAGCAAAGCAAAACAAAACCAAAAAAATTAAGTGGACTGATCCAAATCCAAGCATACAGGAAACTATTCTAAACAGATTTGTGTTTCCAAGGGCATGTGTTTCAAAAACAAGTTGCTTTTTGCATTATAGATAGACATGTATAAAACATTCTTTGTAAACCTCTAGCCTTAGACGTAACATTTTCTGTAAGTAAATTAGAACTTTACCTAATAGTATTTGTTACGAATTTTGGTCTATGACATACTAGTAGGGACATGATAAAACAAAAAAACTGAAAAAGAAAGCTGCACAACATTTAAAAATGTAGAAAACTTGGATTAAGATGATGATTAACATTGTTAAGGCTGTATATTCAAGCACTGTATGTTAAGAGAGCAGTGGATATGATTTTTAGGCAATAAGAAATGTCCTGCTTTACGCATGATACTGTAATTATAGAATGATGATGTCAACAGCTGATTGTTGGCATAAACTGGCTACTTATAGCAGGTATGTGAATTAATAAAGATAGCAGAAGATGGCAGAAATGAATTCTGAGAAATGATAGCCAGTTTTCTCCAGCAGTCAGCCTGATAAGTAAAACTCCAAAATTCTAGCTCTGCATCAAATGAAATACTCTTTTTTCTCCTCTGCATTGACTTGGCTGCCTTCTGCATTAATAATGGCTGTGTCGGCATCAGGTGCATCTTCCGCTCCTTTTGCTTCATTTGTTAAATATGTTCCTATAGAAATAAGTACAACAGAGAAGAAAAGAAGAAGAAAGATTAGTGTTTTGGTTTTTTTAGCTTTACACTGTATTATAGGAAGTACATTTCTAACAATGCTCCAATTGCTTCATGAATGGACAATTTTTACACAGTTTAATATACATCTTAAAGGTATGCTCAGCTTTCTAATTTGTCTAAGAAATGTTTACACTATTAATACCAATAATGCACATACACAAACTCCAGTATATCCACAATAAACTAAGGAAATATTTTAACAAATATCCACTTTACCTTACTGCAGTAATATGCAATATATTTTTCAATTATAGAATAAGTGATAAAATCTTGGTTACTTCATGGAATAGCTACCCATATAAAAAACCAAACCAACTTGGAAGACTTATTATGAAATATATAAATATAAATAAACTAATGTTTAAATACCCACTATTTATATTTCGATTTTTTCTTGATTGTATCTATAATTTTACAGAATGACATCATAGTACTTTTCAAGAATTACAAAACTGAGGCAGTTTTATTAACTGAACCAACTCACATTCTAGTATTGTAGCTACTTTTATGCTCTGGATATGAATAAAAAGATTTGTTTAAAATAGTCAACTTTCCATTTGTGAAAATCATTATTTATGCTGGCATAAGACGTATAATTGTTCATTCAGGAAAGTAAAACAAAACAGATACACTTTCACTGGCTTGTTAAAAAAATGTTAGTATTCCCACACACAATCCAATCAAATTAAAAAGATGTTTTTATCAGCTTATGCTTGCTAGGCATATTATTATCCTATCTAAAATGAGAATGAATTAATACTCACACTCATTCTCACTTCACTCTTGGTTTGGGTTTTCTTTTGAGGGGGATGGGTAGGGAATAAACTGAGTTTTAACAATAGGTCTACAAGCCATACAGAGGTTAAATCTCAAGAAATGATTTTGGAATTAACTAGGTCAAAATCAAATCATAGAGAAGCTTAGTCAGAAGTCAGTGTCACTCCATCCCTGTTATCTCTGTTGGCAGAGGGGACTGAAAATGAAGGGAGCAGAATTATTATGGTGAAATCACTTAATAAAGTAAAGCTTGCCCCAAGAATGAACCCCTTATTCCAATGGGATCTGTGGTAAACTGATTAGAAAACTCACCACCATCTTTTAATATTAACTTTTAAATACATACTTAAAATATTTGCATAATTTATTAAAATGAAAAATCTTGTTCACTCAATATATATATGTTCTGTTGAACTGATATACTAGTTAAAACTAGGAGGTCATGTAATCAAGTGTCTAGAATTAACAGCCAAAACCAAGGGCAATCATACCTCTTAGCCTCTCTAAATCACTGACTTACAAGATGTCCTTGGGCACATAGCTAACTACATGCCCTTTGCCTTAGCCACTCCATTGGAAAACTGGTTAAAATTCACGGGGACTTCACTTGCAACTAGACTGTGAATGAATCTTTTGTGTTCAAACCATTTAGCAGATGAGGGAAGGTGAAGCACCATTCCCAGGTGAAATCATGCTTTGCTTCCAAAAGTGACTGAACCCCCACTAAATCTGTCCTACCTTTATGTCTTGCCAGGTATCGACCAAGGAGAATTATAGAACATAGTGTTACAAAGACAACTACAGCCACTATTCCTCCTATAAGAGCATGGTCAGGTCCCGTCTGTCCAGCCAAAGCATTTGGATCTAGAGGGAGAAAAAAAGCAAAAGTGGTTCAACACAGACAAAAAATAACAGGAAAATTCACAATGCCAACTTTTATACTGATTATCCTGAAAATAGGGCATTTCTCCCTTTAATATTCAGCATGGCTATTCCTACTTTTACTACCAGTATCTTATCAACAACACAGTGCTGCTTGTATTCCCAGATTGCTAAAACCCTGAGGACATCACAGTTACAAAAAATACTACCTTATTCTTCTTTGGCAGAGGTTATTAAATGGAAAAGGTTTCTAGTTTTGTCCTCATCTTATTACAGCTGAAAACTGGCCATAGCTATTTATAGAAAGAAAAACAAGGAACAGAGAATTGGGGATCGGATAGCATCGGCAGAATAGTGTCTGCATAATACATAATTTATAGAATTGATTCTCAGTGGGGAACCCTTATATATTCTCTTCCTCTCATTCCTATCCTATTGCACCAGGAAAAAAAAAAAAAAAGGAAGATAAAGTGCAGCCGTGCCAAGTTTCTCTGCACATGGCTGAGTCTGCATGAATTTGGTCAGATAAAGGTATCAGGCAACCTCAAAGATCATCATTCAGTCTCAAGCATCAGTTTGTGAATTTACTATGAACACTCGATTAACACGCAACATGAGCAAGCTGTAATAGATAGAACAATGTGTTAGCAGGTTCATTTTACTACCTCTGTGCACAGCACCAGGAATACTGCCAGATTCAAGCTTTCTGTGCTGGTCATTTTCCTGTTTTGCTGTCTGATGCTTCAGAAAAGTTGCAAAGAGGCAATCATGGGAAATGGCACTACTTAGGGGTGAATAATTCTTTGGAGCTTTTGAACAATGAACTAGTAACCTGTAACTGTTGACTCACCAGACATATGCAGAAGAAGGTAAAATTCAATCTGAGGATCATGGTAAGATTCCCATTATAATGAAAATGCCTCTGCTGCGAGGTAATAGTAATTCTTTGAGTATGCTATTAGCATGTACTATATGATGCAATCAGTCCACTGTCACTGCTTCAAGGGCATTTCCCTTATAGGAGCTGTTTACATTCCACAGATAGTTTGCAAACAACTTATTTGCTTTGCAAAAGGGAAAGACAGGAAAAACGTTTACACAGAAAAGAGGGCAAGTCTGTGAAGATGATAGAAGGGCCTCTGATAATGCTGAGTATGATTCCATAATACCATAATTACATTCTGCTGACCAGGATCATTGTATAACAGTAAGATGTACCGGTATATCTCGTGTTATAACAAAGCCAAGTGCAAGGTGTTGCACCTGGGTCAAGGCAATCCCTGGCACCACTCCAGATTGGGGGAATGAATGCATCAAAAGCAGCCCTGCCAAGAATGACTTGGGGGTGCTGGTGGATGAGAGGCTGAACATGAGCTGGCAATGTGTGCCCACATCCTAGAAAGCCAATTGTATCCTGGGCTGTAGCAAAAGCAGCATTGGCAATTGAGGGAGGTGATTCTGCCCCTCTCCTCCACTCTTGTGAGACTCCACCTCAAGTACTGCATCCTGTTCTGGGGTCCCCAGCACAGGGAGAACATAGACCTTTTGGAGTGAGTCCAGAGGAGATCACCTAGATGGTTAGAAGGATGAAGTACCTCTCCTATGAGGAAAGGCTGAGAGAATTGGGATTGATCAGCCTGGAGAAGAGAAGGCTTTGGGGAGACCTAATCGCAGCCTTTCAGTGCCTGAAGGGCCTACAAGAGAGCTGGAAACAAACTATTTTACAAGGGCATGCAGTGATAGGACAAGGGGAAATGGCTTTAAACTGAAAGAGAGTAGGTTTAGATTAGATATTAGGAAGAAATTCTTCACTGTGAGGGTTGTGTGGCACTGGAACAGGTTGCCCAGAGAAGCTGTGCATGCCCCATCCCTGGAAGTGTTAAGGCAAGGATGGATGGGGCTTTGAGCAACCTGGTCTAGAGGAAGGTGTCCCTACCCATGGAAATAGATGATCTTTAAGGTTACTTCCAACTCAAGTCATTCTGTGGTCTACAAACATATATACAAATCTATATAAATATGTTGTATAGATGCAGTAAAAGAATCATGTTTCCCCCTCCTTTTGTAAATTGTGAGGCATTCTGAAACTACATTTTCAGGTTTACTGGAGCACAGAGTAGTATGGCCACTGTTACAGATTCAGTTCTTCTCTTAACAGTCACTGGACTCATCAGGCATGACTTAGTAATTTATTGCTGGCTTTCTGAGCTCCCACATCTTTCTCTTCTAGCTGCCAAGAGGACTTTGGGGAAGATGGTCACAACACTTCTGTGGACATGATGACAAATAGTAGGTGTTGGGCCTCAAAAAAGCTAAAAACACCTCATAAAGTTAGTTGTGCCTGTTCCCTCCCCCATATCAATGAATCGTCTGGAATGGTGCTGCTGGTGGTGCCACTATGCTGAGTACGTGTAATCAGTCCAAGGGCACATAGGCTCTATTTTGGTGATTAAAACTGACTCCAAGTTCTGTGCCCCAGCAGATTTGCAGGGAGAAGCAAGACTGCTGAAGCATTCTCTTCTCAAAGCAAGAGCTCAGGGCATGCATCCATCCTTTCCCATGTCTTTCAGGGGCTTTGTTTTCTAAGGGGAGAAAGAAGGAGGTGACTGCTTGCTTGAGAAAATGGAAGGTGACAGCTTGCTGCAGGAATGTCAGCCTGCTTGAGCCATCTAGAAAATTCCTCCTTTTGTGGTGCCTGTGGCAATGTTGGCATAAACCTCCTCCCTACAGCAATAAGGAAGCACCCATTTGGGCTCTAAGGAGCGCAGCTTCCCCAAGTCCTGTGTGTGACCCACAGGAGATGTTCTTCAACAACACTGGGTCAGGAGCAGCTAGTATACTGGCAGTAACATTATAGAACAAAAGGAGATATTGTAAGGGATAATATACTTCCTGATGCAGAGTATTATCCAGAGAAGGGTTAGCACAGAACTTTATCTAGAGGCATTTTTTGAAAAGCTGATTGAAGTTCACAACCTTAGCTTATCACCCAGATTTATAACATATGTCCTCTGTGAACTTTAATAAACATTATTGATAAAAAAACCTCACAATACAATGAGATGAGGATGCCTCTGTGTTTTCATCCTCATGTGATTTCCTATATACAGTGATTCACTCCTCCTCTGACATACCTGATGTGACTACATGAAGTGACCTAAAGATAGCATAAAACATAAGGTTTCCATGCACTAGTGTGAATTAATGAGATAAATGCTGCTTTACACTGAAATTTTTAACATTAAAATTAGTATAAGTAGTCTTTGGATTGCAAAAGTAAATTGTTTTGTTTTGTTTTTTTGTTTGCTATAACCTCAACCTTGCTATCAAAGCCAGATTATATTAGTAAGTATTATAGTATTATAATAGTAAGTATTACTAGAGAAATTTGTCCTGAAAAAGTTTATACATGACCTTTATATTACCAGTGAACAATTTATTTGTTAAAAATAAAAAAGGAAAGGAAGGAGAGGAAGGAAAAGATGGAAGGGAAGGAAATGAAGAAAGATTCTTAGAAGTGGACAAAATGAAAATCTGTACAACATAAACAATATTCTGAACAGGAAGCACACCTCATAGAAATAGTCTCCTCATAGAAAAATAATGTTAGCATTAAATATAAATACGCTCTACATTATGCATACAGAGTAATGCACTATAGTTTTGCCTTTCATGAAGTGACCCAAACCCCATGAGTGAATTATAGATCTGGTGCTATCTATCATCATAAATAATTACTATGTCAAAATGTGGCAGAAGAGTAACAGAAAGATAGCAATAAAGGGGTTTGGAAACTATGCCTTTTTGCATTTATGGTATATATACAGTGAACATGAATAATCATCCAAGTGTTCTGGGCATTAGTATTAGCAACTCCCATTAAAATTCCTCAAAGTGCTAACTGTGTATTTAGGCACTGGCCACTTCACGGATCATTCCAGTTTGCTTTCCAAGAAATAGAATAGCATTAAAATTACTTATAGATTCCCATTATAAGCTTCATCAGGTAAATCCTACCCTGCCACACGCATAACCAGCAAGTGAAATCTTAGGTATGCAATTGTGCAAGAAACAGTTACAATCCAGCTGTTTCCATTAAAGGAAAACAATACGACCACCACCAAAACCCACAAAAAACCTCAAGCAAAAAAAAAATCCCAACCACTCAAATATTATGCTGCTACTGTTCTAAAGTATACACTTTTTTTAACTGTATAAGCACAGGCAGCTACAATAGTCATGGTCTTAAATAGTGAAAGTACAGTTTTGTAATCAGACTAAGTCTTCAAAGTTCAGTTCTTTTTCTGTGCATTTCATCCTTTCATGAGACAAAGAAAACCTTACAGAAAAATAATGACACAAAAGCTCATAATTCTGCTTTATTTCCTTTTGATTGCTGATGCTATGAAGATGTACCCATTTTCAGCTTCTGGGATTTGCCTGTTACTGTTTGTTCACAAACAGTGAACACTTAAATGAAATAACACATACTTAAATTAAATCACACTTTTAAAATGACTGAGGAAGAAAAGTGCATCAGTCATTAAGAAATTAAACACATCAGATAGATCTACTAAATAAGTAGATACACACTTTTTATGACTTGCTGACAAAGTTTCACTGTAGAATGCTTTTATATGAATTCACACGTTAGTTAAGGAGAGAAATTTTGGAACAACTTTTCATGTTTTTGCATAAAGTATATGATAATTATTCATCTAATTTTAGTTTCTTCATGCATAAGTTTCCTTCTTATTTATGCAGAGTTGACTTGACTGAGCAGGCTGCAGGAAAGGGTCAGATAACCCTTTCCTGAGCAAAGGCAGAGCAAGCACATTTGTGAATGCTGAAATGGCATGTTCTGGGGAATATATGCTCAAGTAGCCCCCTTTATTGCAGAACTTTTTTAACCTGTGTTTTTGGCTTACATGCTGAAGTTTAAAATAAAATCATTCTGAGCATGAGATGACCTAGCTTTGAGG